CTATTGTATCATCTTCGCAAGTTGGATGACTTTTTCAAATTTTACACAGTCGCTCACATTATACAGCAGTTTATACAAGCCGTGTCAAACAAAAGATTTCAATATAATGAGACACTGAAACGGCATGCCCTGATTATATACTTATTTGTATTGACGATTTGATTTTCCATGTCGAAGTTCTGTCCATGCATATGTTTTCTTATTTAAAAACATTCAATCTAACTTTTACAAAGTTTCTTGAAAGCATATGTAATATTCTACTCATAGATGCTCAAAATGTTGTGCGTGAACTTCAGAGTAGCATCTCAACTTAGAAGTCCGAACTCGTGTGGCGTTTTGAAGATTGACTTGTGGGATATCTTTTCAATTCAACCTATGATTACACGCATAATATTTGTGCTGTCATTTGACCTTCAATTTTTTTGCTTTGTATTTCTATCATATTTTAAATCTTCGTTTTTACTGCTTTCTGGAATTGTTCCGATGTACAAGTTTGTTCAGTCCAGATCGCAATGACTTTTGGGATAAATAATAAAAATTCAAAATAGTAAAAAATGAAGCAAACTTGTATTGTCGTAATATTTTTAAACAGTGTTCTTACAGCGGAAGTTTTAAACGAAATAAACGGGGATTCATATATTCAAATATTGAGTTGGCATTTAAAAAACACCGACATAACCTGTTATCTAACGATTCAAAAACTTTTGCCGAATTATTTGTATATACATCACGATACGATTTTTAACTTTTGCTGAATGTTTATTGTTCAAATTAAATGTTATCGCATAAACTCATCTGAAACATGCAGATTGTCTGATTCATTATACCTAGCACCAGCTTGCACGATATGACTTGTTATTCAATCAAGTTGAACAATTACGTCAAAGCACAGAGTTAAACGTTATTGTTTGTTATTCAACGTCGAGAAGAAAAAAAAAATATTCAAATGATGTCCTAACAAATCGAATATCGAATTTCCGTTTACAAGGCTTTTTCACTGACGATATTCCTATGCTTGAGACCAACTTTGTATCATTGCATCAGATGAGTATAATTGTACCAAATAAAATGTTAGAGGGACAAAATGGAACAGGTATTAATTGTACATTATGCCAAGAGATTTTACTCATTACTTAATGTTACTAAAACCGGCATGTATGTTAAAACTTTTATTTGTAGTGACGATATGAATTTACTTGTTGCATTCATCAAATTGTTTAATTGAAACCTCCAACACTGGAATCGTTAATACTATTGCTCGGCGGCGCATCAATTCAGTATAACTTTTTTACTTTCAGTTCAGGTCAAGTGCGCGGATTGTCTGATGGTCAACTGTGGACAATAAGGATCTGCCTTAATATAGGAAAAAATTACAGCTCTTGAATTTATCGCTCAAATGAATGTATAGAAATGAGCGATATCCTTTGGACATGGAAAATCCAGCGGTAGACCTTACACTTGGTAGCACCATCCTATGTCGACCTGTTTTACGCCTTTCGATATTCAGCCAATCACATACCCGCGATATTAACTCTGTGAACCTAAATGTAATTACTAAAACCATGTTACCAAAATGATTAAAATCCGACAGGCGTTCGTACAGTCGCTTTGCACTTCATTGTGCATTGGGGAAATAAACAAATTCAATATTCTTGTCACGCTATTTTTCTCATGATGAATTTGAAATGTGCAAAAAAGCTGTAGATAAAAGTGATGTCACTGATTGAGAATAACCCCCCCCCCCATAAAAAAATCAAAAATTTTTTAGATGCAATTTTGCGCATTTGCAATAAATTTTTAGGGCTTTTCCAACGCCATTTTACTCTATTCTTGATCTTCGTTTTTACTGCTTTCTGGAATTGTTCCGATGTACAAGTTTGTTCAGTCCAGATCACAATGAGTTTTAGGATGAATATTAAAAATACAAAATAGTAAAAAATGAAGTAAACTTGTATTGTCGTAATATTTTTAAACAGTGTGGATTCATCTCCGACCGTGCCAAATATTGAGTTGGCATTTAAAAAACACCGACATAACCTGTTATCTAACGATTCTAAAACTTTTGCCGAATTATTTGTATATACATCACGATACGATTATTAATTTTTGCTGAATGTTTATTGTTCAAATTGAATGTTATCGCATAAACTCATCTGAAACATGCAGATTGTCTGATTCATTATACCTAGCACCAGCTTGCACGATATTACTTGTTATTCAATCAAGTTGAACAATTACGTCAAAGCACAGAGTTAAACGTTATTGTTTGTTATTCAACGTCGAGAAGAAAAAAAAAAATATTCAAATGATGTCCTAACAAATCGAATATCGAATTTCCGTTTACAAGGCTTTTTCACTGACGATATTCCTATGCTTGAGACCAACTTTGTATCATTGCATCAGATGAGTATAATTGTACCAAAATAAAATGTTAGAGGGACAAAATGGAACAGGTATTAATTGTACATTATGCCAAGAGATTTTATTCATTACTTAATGTTACTAAAACCGGCATGTCTGTTAAGACTTTTATTTGTAGTGACGATATGAATTTACGTGTTGCATTCATCAAATTGTCTAATTGAAACCTCCAACACTGGAATCGTTAATACTATTGCTCGGCGGCGCATCAATTCAGTATAACTTTTTTACTTTCAGTTCAGGTCAAGTGCGCGGATTGTCTGATGGTCTACTGTGGACAATAAGGATCTGCCTTAATATAGGAAAAAATTACAGCTCTTGAATTTATCGCTCAAATGAATGTATAGAAATGAGCGATATCCTTTGGACATGGAAAATCCAGCGGCAGACCTTACACTTGGTAGCACCATCCTATGTCGACCTGTTTTACGTCTTTCGATATTCAGCCAATCACATACCCGCGATATTAACTCTGTGAACCTAAATGTAATTACTAAAACCATGTTACCAAAATGATTAAAATCCGACAGGCGTTCGTACTGTCGCTTTGCACTTCATTGTGCTTTGGGGAAATAGACAAATTCAATATTCTTGTCACGCTATTTTTCTCATGATGAATTTGAAATGTGCAAAAAAGCTGTAGATAAAAGTGATGTCACTGATTGAGAATACCCCCCCCCCTAAAAAAAATCAAAAATTTTTTAGATGCAATTTTGCGCATTTGCAATGAGACATAAATTCTTAGGGCTTTTCCAACGCCATTTTACTCTATTCTTGATCTTCGTTTTTACTGCTTTCTGGAATTGTTCCGATGTACAAGTTTGTTCAGTCCAGATCGCAATGAGTTTTAAGATGAATATTAAAAATACAAAATAGTAAAAAATGAAGCAAACTTGTATTGTCGTAATATTTTTAAACAGTGTGGATTCATCTCCGACCGTGCCAAATATGGAGTTGGCATTTAAAAAACACCGACATAACCTGTTATCTAACGATTCAAAAACTTTTGCCGAATTATTTGTATATACATCACGATACGATTATTAATTTTTGCTGAATGTTTGTTGTTCAAATTGAATGTTATCGCCTAAACTCATCTGAAACATGCAGATTGTCTGATTCATTATACCTAGCACCAGCTTGCACGATATTACTTGTTATTCAATCAAGTTGAACAATTACGTCAAAGCACAGAGGTAAACGTTATTGTTTGTTATTCAACGTCGAGAAAAAAAAAATATTCAAATGATGTCCTAGCAAATCGAATATCGAATTTCCGTTTACAAGGCTTTTTCACTGCCGATATTTCTATGCTTGAGACCAACTTTGTATCATTGCATCAGATGAGTATAATTGTACCAAATAAAATGTTAGAGGGACAAAATGGAACAGGTATTGTACATTATGCCAAGAGATTTTATTCATTACTTGATGTTACTAAAACCGGCATGTCTGTTAAGACTTTTATTTGTAGTGACGATATGAATTTACGTGTTGCATTCATCAAATTGTCTAATTGAAACCTCCAACACTGGAATCGTTAATACTATTGCTCGGCGGCGCATCAATTCAGTATAACTTTTTTACTTTCAGTTCAGGTCAAGTGCGCGGATTGCCTGATGGTCTACTGTGAACAATAAGGATCTGCCTTAATATAGGAAAAAATTACAGCTCCTGAATTTATCGCTCAAATGAATGTATAGAAATGAGCGATATCTTTTGGACAAGGAAAATCCAGCGGTAGACCTTACACTTGGTAGCAACATCCTTTGTTGACCTGTTTTACGTCTTTCAATATTCAGCCAATCACATACCCGCGATATTAGCTCTGTGAACCTAAATTTAATTACTAAAACCATGTTACCAAAATGATTAAAATCCGACAGGCGTTCGTACTGTCGCTTTGCACTTCATTGTGCTTTGGGGAAATAAACAAATTCAATATTCTTGTCACGCTATTTTTCTCATGATGAATTTGAAATGTGCAAAAAAGCTGTAGATAAAAGTGATGTCACTGATTGAGAATACCCCCCCCCCCCCAAAATCTACATTTGGCTTTTCCAACGCCATTTTACTCTATTCTTGAACGATTCACTGAAACTTCCTGGATTCCCATCAATAACCCTTTCAACAAATGACCAACCGAGATAGATGAAAATGCGCGAATTATATACCTTGGCTAACTTCGACAGCGATGCATGTCTGCAGAGAAATTTTTTAAAATATTGTCTGAAATCAGTGGTCTTCTAGCCTTGTTCGGAGCAAAAGACACGAGTTAGCGTCGTATTATGTCATTAACAAAAAAAAATTTTCTCCCCCCAAATATTTTAGGCTTGCTACGCTCTTGATCTTGGATGCTCTCCGTTTTCCTAAAATGTATTCGGATTTGTACATTGATCTTCAAGGAACGACTTGGCGACGACACGATTTGATCATGCGGAAATCGCGTGGAATTGCCAGTGACGTACCTTGGGCTCTCCGTAGAGAAGTTTCAAAAAGAAAAAAATTCGTGTCATTTTGTTGTTTGATTTGAGCGCATAAATACAGAGTTCATTTGGCTTATCTTCACCTTACCGTCGGACAATCTTCGAAGTGAAATCGATCGTTTTGCTCAACGAGTCATCTTGGAAATTTGGAAGAAAATGGCGAAGCAATTTCTCTACGCATGTGCCGTGCTATCATCTATTCTACTTGTTTCGGTGTCGGCCTCTGGTAAGATGATATTCTATTTATATTTCCAAATTCTAAATGAGTATATATGTTGATGAACTATTGGGACAAATAGCAATTTTTAGGCGTTGATAAACCATTGAAATGAATATAAATATGAAAGATTTAAACTTGATAATAATACTGAAAATTAAAATTATTTTGTGCAAAGAAGCACATAAGAATAGTTGAAAAAAATTATCTTCAATAAGACAAATTTATTTCCAGATCGCGTGTATATTAAATTGACAGTAAAAAACTCAAATATCCAAACAAATACTATTTTCTGCAAATCCTAAGCCCGGGCGGATCTATCATTTAAAGTAAGGTAGGCTGAAGCTTAGAGTCTTCGACATTCAAGTTTAAAATAATAATAATTTTTACGCCATTTTTAAATTTACAATTGGGTTAATAATTGTTGTCCCGAATACTCACCATTAAATAGATTAAATTCAATACGGTCGAATGAATTAATGTGTCTGAATTTGAAGAACGCTGCTCAACGCTCAAACGCAAAATATACTAATTTAAATTAATTAAACAGTTTTTACCGTGATAAAGTCCTAATTTTCTGAAAACGATAATAAAATATCGATATATAAATATATTGATTTATCTAGGCAACAACGTATCCACGAATTATTATATCTTTCAATATTTCCAAACTTTTTTCTTCTCAAAACAACGGAATGATGATTATTCAGAAATGTTTTATTCATCAGTATTTAGACCATGTCCCGTTTCTTGCGACTATGAGGCGGGTAGTTTGTCGTTGGGTTTCCAGCCTTGAGTTTCAGTGTTTTTTACATAACCTGAGAAGACCTCTTATAACGTGATAATGGACTAATTATGGATGGACAATGGATGATAATGGACTTTCAATGAGGCACCTAACGAATGTCATAGCCCAGCCCTATGGCCTATCATCGTCTATGATAATAACAATTTTTTTCAATTGATATCGCATATCCTTTAATTTTGTGAAGAGATATTTTGAGAGCAAATGTTTTACATGCTGTTAGTATTATTTTATACATATTACAAATACTGCTTAATTTACATTATGTTTTGATTTCACGATTCTATTTATGTTCTTTTCGGATACAGTACTACCTATTCCTGTCGGCTCTGCCTATGTGGAAGCAGGACGACCCGAAGATGCCAAAGTATATGTTGATTATCAGATCAAATCATTCGAATCGTCAGCATCAGCCGAAATCAACACCTACCTGGCCGACAACCCCACTGCTTACGGCCAAAGGATTTTTGCGCATTATATGCTTAATGAATTACGGGAAATATCGAAGGATACAACAGCGAATTCCATTCAGAGAGAAATAAATAATATGCCGTCCGATCGTCAACCTAATTGGCAGGCATTTAAAGCTCAAATAGGATTGTAATAAAGCCCAAATCGGAAGCATGTTGTTCTAAGATTTTAATCTTTTTATTCTTCGATAATATAAATTCATGACTCTCATTTCAAATCTACTTTCATTTAGTATGCGATATAATGTTCCAAATTAAAACCTAATTTTTTTTAAATTCTCGATATTACTAAGCCTTTGAAATATAAAGCAGGAGATTGTGTTTAAAATCGACCCCCTCTCCTTTATTTCATTTATGACTGCACATGCTGCAAAAATCACTCGTATTTGTAGTCTAAGTTGAAAGAAAATCTCATATAAAATATTTCATATCTCTCCTTAATTATAAATTATAAGGCGAATAGTAATTTAAAAGCTGTTGATTTATTAACCAAATATGTCGTATTATTTAATCCATTGATTTTATGATAATTCAGATGCGACTTATCGAAATATAACGAAGTTTAAAACTTTAGGGAAATTTGTTTCTCAATCCAATGACTCTTGCATCATAGTGCTTATTATTCTGCTTAGCAAAATTCGACCAAAATTAAGATTAAAAAATTGTAACCGGATTTGCAACTTCGTATTTCCAAAATGTCCTTTCCAAATATTACTTTTTTCAGCTCATTTCATGTGACTATTACGACAGAATCATTTATATCTCAATTTTTGTATTTCACGAATGCAAATACCGATGCAAAATGAGCTGAATTACAGTAATTCTAGTATTGCTAAAACTTTCCTGTGTGATTATACCACGCAAATATATGATTGATGCAACTATAATTTTGTGTTTATTCGTAGTCAGATGTTGTTTTTATCAGGTTGTTAGGTAAAGGTTGAATTTAATATCGCTAGTGTTATCCTGACTTGACATTACAATGTTCGACCAATGTGAAAAGTCTTCAGTGAGTTTAGTAGGTAATCTGTCTTAAAGCCTGTTAAATTGAGTCTGGGCCAGGCACAATCTCGGGACAGATTAGATAAATTTAACATAGCCCTGATAATATCTGTCTACACGTCCAAAGTATTGGATCAATTGGAGTTATCGGTATGTTCCATTGCAAATCATCGGGTCGTGGTTGTTTTCTCTAAGTCTAAAGGAATGCTTTTTTTCACATTTTTGCTGTGAATAAGGCTCCATATGAGGGGACTCGGTATTTATATAAATACTTCATTTTTGTAAAAGAAATGCAAACTTTTGGTTTTTATCGAGCCAAATTTAATCAGCGTTAAATATAATGAATATGACAATCTACATGTTTAGCTTAGTTTATCTGATAACGCTTGTCGAACAATAAAGAGTCAACAAAAATTTATAATCGTATCGTGACGATGCTATAGATAACAGGTTACGTAAGTATTTATATGATACTTCATACAACTTTATAGGAAAGGATACGGATTCAGGCTTATTATTGTTTAAAACTTTCTATTAGAACGATGTAAAAAAATTAGTGGGTATTACGCCATTTTCCAGTTATTTCCGAACCTCAGTCATTTTCTTAAAATAATCATTACAACCTAGCCATCCAGCTATGAAGAAAGGAAAGCGGAAAATCGATTTTGCATTACACGAACTCGGAACTCTGTGTACACAATCTGAAATCACCGGAATATCTTCCCCAAAATCGAGGACGAATAATATTGATTCCCATCCAAGGCCATTAATATTAATTCTAACACACATTTTCGAAGTATATTTATGCATTAACTATTCTTTAAATTAAAAAAAAAAAAGTAATGGAGGCGGTGTACCGCTTCACGTTGATTAAGATTTACAAGAATCCCGAACTGAAATGGCGGACGGACAAAATGTCGTCGAAATGGCGTAAATTGAACATTTGAACGAACTGAGTATGTGAGGTTCATTACTCACAATTTCTCTATAATAGGAGCTTGATAAATAAAAACATATTTTCTTGTATGCTATAAAAATTATTACCGGGCAGCAATACTATGCGATATTATATGGCTGATACCATATACCGCTGTATTCGATGCGTTCTTTAATTGTGGTTATGTAGCAGGGATTATTTAGCCACACGAACGTGGTCTTCATAGCTGTGGTTCCCAACTTTTTTAAGGCGGCCCAAATTTTTTGAAAAATCACGTGACCCATTGTCCAATTACTAGGCGGTAGCAACGATATGTCACAAACGGTCACAAAAGTATCTGACAGCAGATCCCCAGTTTTTACGATGTGATACTTTCCTCATATACTACTAGGTTTTATTACATTTGAACCCATGACAATTGCACCTGCATACTAGGCTTGCACGTAATTTACGGATTTACGGAATTACGGAATTATTTCGAGTTACGGAAGCGAAGTTACGAATTACGTAAAGTCGTAATTATTTGTCGAGCGCTTTCGCGATTGAAACGAGCTCTCTTCAGAGCAGTATGGTGGCCCATCGTTGTCACGCGTAAAATTGAAAATAAAAATAAAAAACCGAAAATAAAAAAATTGTTGTAAAAAAACATAAAAATAATTAAAAAAAAAATGAAAAAAAAAAATTAAAATTAAAAAAAAATAAATAAATAAAAACGAAAAAAAAAACAAAAAAAAAAAATTAAAAAAAAAAAAAAATCGAATAAAAAGAAAATAAAAAGGTTGACAACGATGGTCCGCTTCGTGGCCCATCGTTGTCACGCGTTTTTATTTTTAGAAAATTTGCTTCTTCTTGGGACCAACGTTGTCAGGCATAATCCTACGCGCACAAATGTGTTCTCTGGGTTTCAAACTCACTACTGATTTTCTTGAGCAATATTCAATATGAAAATGTTCTATAAATTCTCCATGCTACAAGTTCAACAAGAAGTAATATATTTATAATAATGATAAGAGAATATAGAATTGAATACGAAAATTCGGAAAATTTGTTTTTACGTGTATAAGGTAATTTAATTGGAGAATGCTGCTTAACTACTCAGTTGTCTGGACACTCGCGATGCCGGTACCGTACCATCTTACCAAATACCGGTAGTCGGTTATAGTCGCTTTGCGTCTGACCGACCGTAATTTTTTTTTTAATTTCATTTTTATTTTTATTTTTATTTTTTCAATTATTGTTATGTTTTTTTACAACTATTTATTTATTTTCGCTTATTCATTTTATTTCTTCATTTTTTTTTAAATTTTACACGTGACAACGATGGGCCACCATAGATCTCTATATTAATATAATTTATTCATTGGTTTTCGTATTCGTTACTTCACTTCTCTGGAATCGCCAAGGCAGTACTAGTCGTCAGAAATTACGAAATCAGTAGGGAGATTTTCATTTTATAGAATAGTAATTGAGGAATCTTTTGGCAATCACATAGACATAGACATATTTATGTCATAGATAATCATACCAGCAGTTTGAGATTCGTACACTGAGCTTTTTCCGGTCAGATTGAATTCCCAACGGGCCGGATTTGGCCCTCGGGCCGTAGTTTGCCCATGCCACACCCTACAATGCGATTTATCTGTAAACCTGCACAGTTTATAAAAATTGTTGACGCCCCTTACTTAGCTCAGTGCAAACTTTTTATCAAATTTGAACACGATAGAATTCCGTCGAAAATATTATGAATATTTAATAGCATTTATCTGCAACATTTATTCTACCAGATTGCAATAATTCTACCGCATTAGACGTAAGGAGTATTGAATAAAATATAGGCAGGAACATTTGAAAATGAAACCCATTGCAAAGAATATTTTGATCGCTGTTATCTTCTTATCAAGTCTGATGCTGTTAGTTATCTACCAGGATATATTAAATCTGCGATGGAACGAACTAAATCAGGAGATTTCCGTCATTCGTAATATTCAAAACTCTACGTAAGTTATATTTTCAAGTATAATTTGAAGACACATTTGAAACATAGCTTGGTCTTTTTATATGGAAACACAGATTCGGGCAGTCAGTCGTAGTAGACCTGGCGGTATTGTCATTGAAAATTGTTCACGCCTTTGCTGACGCCATTATAGTAGAATTAATAGGAATTATCGTTCTTCATGATATATATCCGCCTGTTTCGGGGCAGATGAAGTACTTTTTTTTATATCCTCGGGCATTAGCCGAATATTGAAGGCAATGGATCCTCCCCATGTATTCTTTGCTGCCACCACGCCAGTGAGGAGATATGTTTAGATCTTCACCCCGTTTACAACACACTTTATGATAAATAATATTGACGCAAAGACCGTTAGACTCCTAAGAAAACTAAACAAGGAAAGATTACAAGTAATACAACGCGCTTGAAGAGCGCAGCGAAAAAATGGCTACACGAATAAGCTAGGTGACATGTAATGAAATATAAGGAAACCACAAATAAACTAGCGTTGAGTTTTATTCGCAATACTTTGGCTGCTGAGTCACAATTTCCTATCAAGACACAATTCATTTTTGTTCATTTAAACAGGGTCGTAAAATCAAGGGCTCTAGTTCCAAAGCAAAATGTGATGTTTCTGAAGACGCACAAGACTGGAAGTTCAACACTACAAAATATACTCGTGAGATACGCTGAAAAAAATAACTGTTTTGTCGGATTGCCACGAGGAGATATTTTATTTGGTTACATGACTGGAACTTCGTTTCAAAAATCCATGATGATGCCGGTGCCTATTTCAAAAATTGTGAGCATGTTGTTGCATCACATGGTGTTCAATTATACAGAAGTAAGTTTCTTTCATAACACTTTTTAACGCTCTTCGCTCTAACAGCGGTCCTCAAACTTTTTAAGCAGCGCCCTCTTTTTTGGAATTTACCAAGTCTCGTGCCCCATCTCGAAAAAAAAATTAGTTGACAATAAGCTACGAATAACAGATAGTGAGGCAAAAATATGTTTTAATGAAAAAACACGTTGAAACTACGTGGATGGAACGTATATATTCAAAATAAAGAAATGTAATTATCCAAAATAAGGCGGTAATAAATCAAATCCAACAAATATATTTATTTTTAATCAGCTTCACGCCCCTCAAAAAATAGTCTACGCTCCCCTTGTGGGGCGCGCCTTACCGTTTGAGAACCACTGGGTCTAGGCAAAGCACCATACAACCATTCACTGATATCCGACAATATGTAAGAATCTACTATTATTTGGACTAGCCAGAATCTTTCCTATTAAGCATTGCCTTCCCAATTTATTTGACGCTGGGTAAGGTGGAGGGAATGAGATCTGCGATTCCAGAAAAGTTAAGTATAATGGTTTAACCGCCAGACCATTGACCCTTAGAAAGTTTGTAAGTTCTTACCTTACATGATGTGATTCAGAACTTCATGCCATTATCCGGCGCAAGAATGTCGGAATGTTCTCAGCTTGGCTGATACTTGCTAATTTTCACCTGGGTGAGATGGCGAGTACAAGATTCAAACTCCATACCTCCAATGTTTACACTGTTAAAGCCATGCAATCTAAATGCTGTTACTCTCAAACGATAACACGTTTTAATGTGGGCGTTATCTACTGAATCTTTGTGTTAAAACAAATAATCAAAATTCCTTTATATTCCTTTTGGTAACAGTAACATTTTCAGGTTTCATCGATTCTCCCTTTTGATGCCGTTTATATTACAATCTTGCGTGATCCCGCAACTCAATTTGAGTCCGTTTTCAAATATTTCAAACAAGACGTTGAACCATTTAATCGAGCTGAAGGCAAAGATGGATTGAAAGATTTTGTTTCCGACCCGAAACAGTAAGTATTTGATAACTTCGTCTTTTCTGTTTTTTTGCTTGCGCATTTCAAAAAATGTGGCGCTATAATAAATAAAGCGTCTGACTTCTCAATCGCTCCTCATAGTAGAGGCATGCAAAACACAACAACACTGGATGGTACTGGACACGAAATGTAACAGTGGATCGTTTTGTCAAAGTGTTGTTGGAGAAAAATCTGTCAATCTGTGGAACAAACAGAACGATCATTCTGCAGGGTGAATTTGCTTCACAAGTTCTTAGGGATTTACCCCATGGATAATCAGTCATACAGCCGTGAGAATTACAACGTGTAATGAAAGTTTTCATTAAATGAATTACTCATTTAATATATTGGAGAAACATTTGTGCTATTCACCTATTCGAGTTGTTACCCCGTCCATACGTTTTGCAGGATCAGGTTGTTGTACAGTAATATAACTAACTGAAAAATCATAATTAATTGAATTATAGACATGTTGCTTTTCGCGCTTTAATGATACTTTCATGCCGGTTGCGATTAATCGTGGCCACCGCGCCTCATGTTTAAATCTTAAAGCAGTCTTGGAAAAGATCCATCAATGTATTTGTTTATTTTAGATATTTCAACGGGAAAGGCGACGGTAGATTTTGGTGGGTCGCTAAAAATGGAATGTTCTTCGATCTGGGATTCGATAATTTATCTGATGACGAAAAATATATCAAAAAATCAGTCGCAAAAATTGAAGGAATATTCGACCTTGTTTTGATTTCAGAATATTTCGAGATTTCTCTGCTTTTACTGAAAGACTTGCTCCATTGGGACATAAAAAATATTGTATATTTATCAATGAACGCAAGAAATCAATCAGACGTGGAACACGTGACTTCTGACGTCATAGATCATATAAGAAAGTGGAACAAAGCTGACTACACGATGTATAGATATTTCAATGAAACATTCTGGCGTCGGGTAGAAGCTTACGGAAAAGACAGACTTGAACACGACCTGGAAGAATTTAGAAAATTACGAAAAGAAATTGAAGAGCTTTGTGTCGAAGATAAACTCGTAAATAGTAAAGATATTGCGGACAAGACTTACAAAATGTTCACGCCCACCGGGGTCAACGTTACCCAATATAAATTGAAAGAACAAGCACAAAACAACGCTCTATGCAAGGGGTTAATCTACCCCGAATACGTTTGGTATAAAAAGTTAATAGAACAGCAATATCCACCACAATAGGATCAGACTGATACTTGGGCCACCCAACAACGAAAAGTCCATACCGTATTTTCTGAAGTATCTGTAATTTTATATTAAATCAATGCGAAGCCTCTTACGATCGTTCACGTTGTGGACTTTCACAAATCTGTAGCGTTTTTAACGAAAGTTGCTCGTTCCAAACAAAGTCGGGTACTCCCGTAGTATGTGAACCAAGATGGCGAACACCACAACAATCAAAATTCCTTTATATTCCTTTTGGTAACAGTAACATTTTCAGGTTTCATCAATTCTCCCTTTTGATGCCGTTTATATTACAATCTTGCGTGATCCCGCAACTCAATTTGAGTCCGTTTTCAAATATTTCAAACAAGACGTTGAACCATTTAATTGAGCTGAAGGCAAAGATGGATTGAAAGATTTTGTTTCTGACCCGAAACAGTAAGTATTTGATAACTCCGTCTTTTCTGTTTTTTTGCTTGCGCATTTCAAAAAATGTGGCGCTATAATAAATAAAGCGTCTGACTTCTCAATCGCTCCTCATAGTAGAGGCATGCGAAACACAACAACACTAGATGGTACTGGACACGAGGTGTAATAGTGGATCGTTTTGGCAAAGTGTTGTTGGAGAAAAAGCTGTCAATCTGTGAAACTAACAGAACGATCATTCTGCAGGGTGAATTTGCTTCACAAGTTCTTAGGGATTTACCCCATGGATAATCAGTCATACAGCCGTGAGAATTACAACGCGTAATGAAAGTTTTCATTAAATGGAAGGCACTCTAAAGGCAATTTCACTCTATTTTTTCTTATTTTATTTCTATCACGAGTTCGGGGACTAGCCAAGTGAATCACGTAGTATTGGTACCTGAAATTATGGCCCAACCCTAACCTGGTACACATATATACTACGTTTCGGTGTCCGCCATCATGATTCACATTCTACGGGAGTATCCAAGGCCGTGTAAAGGCAGCCAACGATATGTAAAGACCTCCTATTCTTAGGACTGAAGGATTTTCAGTGCAAGATTGTCTATCCAATTTATTACACACCGGATACGCGATTCGAACTATAAAGATGTATAATCTGCGATACCCCAAAACAGTGGTCCCCAACTTATTATGTCTCGTGCCCTTCCGGATGCTTTTAGAACTGATGGCGACCCCGGTTTTCATTGCAGTAGCATTTATAGTGTTATTTTTATTGGTAGATTCCAAATCAAATAACGTTCAAACAATTCAAGCTAAACAAGGTGAAATTGTTTTAAAGCTATTAGGAATGGAAAAATTTTTTGTAAAGAGAAAAATCAAATTATTTTGCGCCTAGAGTTGCGACCTTCCCTTCTACTGCTTTGTGGTCTTTGTTGAGGTGGGGTTGCCAACCGTCCTTTATATCAAAGGACAATCTTTTATTTCAAAGGACAATCCTTTCATTAAGTTTTTCGGTCCTTGTTCTTTGTAGCATTTAGAAAAGATGCTAATTGTCCTTTATTCTTTCCAACGTCGTTTTGCCCGATAGTTTATTATAGCACGATGTTTGATATTGTCTTGTTCTTAAAATCGCCTCCGTTTATGTAGTTGTAAGCTTCTAATTATTCTTTTTAATTTTAATGGTTGTATAGCTATATTTAGTAAACTGTACATTTTTATATGTGTATCCATTGGCACCTCGACATTTTCATTTTAAATCATGATTACTGAAAATACATGTCAACTATTTTTCTTCACACAATACAAGACTATTGATAGATTACAAAAGAATTTCGAATTGAGTCGCACTTATCTTATCAGTCTGCGGTGACGGGAAATACAATTTGAGGGTTTGTTCCATTGTTGTCGAGTGTTGATATACAATGGAGCTCATACGTCTTTCTCGTTAAGAAAACAATTCAAAGTTAAATATTACTCGGACAGTACTCTGTATTCGCATATCGCAATTTACATTGTCTATTTTGACTGAATAAAGAGTGTGACTAGATCTTGTTGTTTTATGGTTGAAAGCACTTCCATGAACGTGGTAATTGAATGCACTTGAAGAACTTGAAATGACGACATGTGTGTATGTTGTTTTGCGTAGCGAATGTCGAAGAGATTTGATTATGGGGCAAAGACATGTAGCTTGGTTTGTTGTTAGAAGATTTAGAATATAAAAGATGCTTGCTTACATTTTATTTCGTTTTAGAGAATAAATACAGAACCTATTTTACTTGTCTTCGCTTTCCTGTCGAACAATCTTTATAGTAAAATCGATCGTCTTGCTGAACAAGATATCTTGGAAACTTGAACAAAAATGGCGAAGCAATTTCTTTACGCATGTGCCGTGGTATCAATGACTCTTCTTGTTTCGGTCGGCCTTTGGTAAGAATATAATTTAGTTAAATTTGCAAACTATCTTTTTTTCCGCTCATAGTACGCACTTTCAAGGCCGAAATTCAAGTTCAGAATAAGGGGGTGCGTAATATGCATTGACATAGAAAATATCGAAAAATATTTATAAATATTTAATGCCTAACTGGCTAATAATTCTCACATATATTAATCTTAAGTGTTTTAATTTCACATGGCAAAGTCTTTTAGGATCAGATCATGCTTGTTTCGGTAGAAGTAAGCTCAATTTAACGAAATTTAGCGTTAGTAAAGTAGCAAGAATCTTAATCAATTCATTAACTCGAGCGGCCGAAAAAACCGTGAATTAAAGTGATGAGAACAGCTGTACATCGTTAACTGCTGTCATTGTCTTTTCGTTTCTCGCCGAATCGGCAAAACTTCAGAGTCATAAAAACTATATGTCACTCAAACAGGTGATCGGCCGGCGGGCCTCTCTCTGAAGTGCGGTGCCTGAAAACACGCTCTGACGTCTGGCCATATCAGCTTTTAAAATGATCAGAGACAAATAACAGCATGATAATTTAATTAATGTCAAATAACATCACATCATGATTGGCAGACCGTTACACTGTAAATACATGAAACAACATATTAATTAGTAGATATAGTTAACAAAATGCAATCAGAATGCTCAAAACGCTTCCGCGGAAAAACACCCACAACGCGAGAGCGGAACGGAAACCCCATGTGCGTGTTATACATGGAGATTGAAAACTTCTCGCCATAGACATGCTAAAATGCACATACGCATTATCTACGGGCGCGTACTATGCAAGGAGAAATACGGTATTTAAATAATTCCATGGATTAACAAAGACCTAAAAATTTTGTTGAAAAATTTCGAAATTAAATGCAATTTATGGGCTATGGTGGACTACTGAAGAAAAATATAATTATGAAAGATTTAATTTGATAATAATATAGGAAATCCAGTCGATACGTGCTTTAAAGCAAAAAAATATATATATAGAAAATATGTAAGAAGATATTACAGAAAAAGTCTTCAACTGTTACAAATAACTTTGATAAAATACCCACAGGATGGAAAGCCAATAATTGGACACTATTTGCTATAAACAACATGCAAGTCCTTACATTTTTGTCACATGATATCCTATTTCTTATATATTTTAGTTTATTCGATACGTTAAGCTTGTTCCATTTGATACCTATTATAAATATAGCTTAATTTTTTGTATTACTTTTTTACAAATCCGATTATATTCTTTTCAGATGTCGCTTCATCCGTGTCAGGCACTATATCTCCAGCCATAAAAAAAAATTTAACCAAATGCTCCGAAAGCTGCCAGGTTGCATATTGACAGTCAGATTGATTCATTAGGTCCATTGGATAGTATTATTGTCAAAAACGAAATCATTCGAGACATGTATGGTGGCCCATCGTTGTCACGCGTAAAATTGAAAATAAAAATAAAAAATAAAATAAAAAACCGATAATAAAAATTTTTTTGTAAAAAAACATAAAAATAATTAAAAAAAAATGAAAAAAAAAATTAAAATTAAAAAAAAAATAAATAAATAAGAACGAAAAAAAAAAAAAAAAAAAAAATTAAAAAAAAAAAATTAAAAAAAAAAATTAAATAAAAAGAAAATAAAAAGGTTGACAACGATGGTCCGCCTCGTGGCCCATCGTTGTCACGCGTTTTTATTTTTAGAAAATTTGCTTCTGCTTGGGACCAACGTTGTCAGGCATAATCCTACGCGCACAAATGTGTTCCCTGGGTTTCAAACTCACTACTGATTTTCTTGAGCAATATTCAATATGAAAATGTTCTATAAATTCTCCATGCTACAAGTTCAACAAGAAGTAATATATTTATAATAATGACAAGAGAATATAGAATTGAATACGAAAATTCGTAAAATTTGTTTTTACGTGTATAAGGTAATTTAATTGGAGAATGCTGCTTAACTACTCAGTTGTCTGGACACTCGTGATGCCGGTACCGTACCGTCTTACCAAATACCGGTAGTCGGTTATAGTCGCTTTGCGTCTGACCGTACCGGTAGCCATACAATCACTCATCATCTCCCATTCTTTCACGAGTGATTGCATGGGTACCGGTACGGTCAGACGATACCGTACCGGCATCGCACGAGTGTCTGAGCAGTTAAGCAGCATTTTCCAATTAAATTACCTTCTACACGTAAAAACAAATTTTCGTATCCAATTCTATATTCTCTTATCCTTATTATAAATATATTGCTTGTGGTTGAACTTGTAGCATGGAGAATTTGTAGAACATTTTCATGTTGAATTTATTGGATATTGGTCATGAAAATCAGTAGTGAGTTAGAAACACATTTGTGCGTGTAGGATTAAGTCTGACAACGTTGGTCCCAAGCAGCATCAAATTTTCTAAAAATAAAAACGCGTGACAACGATGGGCCACGAGGCGGACCATCGTTGTCAACCTTTTTATTTTCTTTTTATCCAATTTTTTTTTCAAATTTTTTTTTTTTTTTTTAATTTTTTTTTTAATCTTAATTTTTTTTTAAATTTTTTGGTTTGTTTTATTTTTCAATTTTTTTTTTAATTTAAATTTTTTTTTATTTTTATTTTTTCAATTATTTTCATGTTTTTTCACAACTTTATTTTTATTTTCGCTTTT